CAGTTAAAGGATATTGCGGCACTGGCGCACGTGATGCGCTAATTTTGTGCCCTGACACTTGCCCGCAGCATCGCAGAGCGGGTGGACGGGCATTGCGAACAATGAGAACGGCGTGTGGTCCGCCGGATATGTCAGAAGTGTCGTCATTGTGGCACGTGACTCGCTTAACGAAAAACAAAAAAAAAAACTGAGCCGAGAAGTGCGAGCTGACAAAGACAACGCGGGCGGTCCACGGTCCACGGTCCTGGCCAAGGACCTTGAGCCTCAGCGCAAACAGAGGCTGAGCTCTCAGCAACTGCTGCAGCTGTAATCGGAGACAATGAATGCGCCGCCACCAAAAAGTGACAAAAGCCGAACAATGAGCTTTAATTTGTTTTTATTCAGCTCAACAAAAATATCAAATAACACAGAGACGAGAGAGGAGACGAGATCCGAGCGCTGAGAGCTAAGCCAGGCAGTACCTGGTGGGGGTGGCGCCGTTCAAAGTTCAATTGCAACAAAGTTCTCACCCGAAATTAGCTGAGATTCAATGTGATTTAATTTTTGATTAAAATATAAAATTGATTTGTCTATTTATGTCGTGATTCTAATCAATTTATGAAGAGTATAATGTAATAATACAAATTATTTAATACATTTATTTTTTAGTTAATAAAATATGAAAATAATTAGAAACGAAAATATAGTATAATTGTTATACTTATTAACTTGAAATAAATTATTTATGAATTATATTATTTTAAAAAATTTGTTTTTTAAACTTATGTGTGTATATTTGCAAAAAAATATTTAATTTATATTTATATTTAAGACATGTAAATGTAAATTTATCATAAAAAACTCAAAGACTTAAAAACAATATTTTATTAATAAAATATTAAAAAAATATATAAATATAAAATATATATAAATATAAATTAATGTTAATTAAATTAAAAAGGGTTGCTTTTATTCCTTATACTTTTCTAATAATATTGAAATTTAGATTTTCGAGCATTGTCATTATGTTGCCATTATAAAGAAATAATTATAAGCCAAGTTATGCTGAAAAGTTTCACGAACATTGTGTTTGTATGTATGTATATGAATGTTGAATAGCTATTTTCTCTTCTTTAAGGTAGTCCCAATCAGAAATTATTGATATATCGCAGACTCAATCTTCACTTGCTTAGCTCCTCCTGCGTTGCCAGCTTCAGGAATAAAGACACAAACATGGTGCCAGGTCTGGGGAAGAAATGTCGACGTAGGCAGTTTATATATGTCTATATATATATATACAAATTTAAGTTCGTCTTAGACGAAGTAAGTGCTTATAAATTTGTTATAGTTTTATTTTTTTTATTTTTTTATTTTGCATCCAGGCAACAGGTGATACAGACTTGAATCAATTGCAATATAAAATAATTCTTTTATTCTGTACAAGAAATTAAAAATATCTAAAACATAGTTTTAGACCTTGACATTATAACCTCAAGCAGCACCCTCAATCATACTTATTTATGTGTGTTTTTGTTAAGTATTTTTTAATGTGTTATTTTTTTCTCACACTACCGTAAACCGATTTAGAGATTGTCCTTTTTAGCTGGTTGCTGGCAAGTCAATCATTTGGACAGTGTTGCGAAGAGTGCGTCGAGGCATATTTTAAACGTCACTTCGATCAATTTCCCAGCGCACGCCCGGCCCAGCGGACACACCCAGCAGCCGGGGTGGCAGTTGCCAGTTGGCACTGAGCATTGAGCATTAAGCATTGGGCATTTAGCTTTTGAGCACTTGCAACCCTGTCTGTGCAGCATCCAGGGGCAGCAGCGGCAGCAGCGGCAGCAGCAGCTAAGCGGATATTCATTACACGAACCGCACGCCGGCACGCGCCGCCGCTTTGACAGTGGCTCAACCCCCGCCGCGCCGTCCTTGGCTGGGCTTACACTTTACATATGTCACAGATATCCCCGTGGGAGTGTTTGTCGGCGTTTGACTTTTGAGTGCGAGGCCGGGCCGCGCTGGGTTCGCTCAGACGCAAAAGTCATGCCGCTGATCCTGTTTGCTGTAAATAATGCGATTAACGTGCAACACGCAGAGGAGCATGGGGCGCTAATGAGACAGCGGCGCTGCCTAAGGATTAGAGCAACAAATTTGCGCCTAAGCATGGTGTGAAATGTCTCTGGGTGTATGAAAAATTGTGAGCGCGAAATATCACTTGTGGTTTGGTGTGCGGCATTGTCTCACCAGAAAAAAAAACCATTAAAATGTCTTTAATGTGGCATGCCCCAAAAGCACTTCGCCCCCTACCTCTCCTTCTCGTTAGACGTATGCCGTTCAGTGAGTCGGAAATAATGCTATGAACTTTGCCAGTTGCCAAAAATGCACAGAAATAATCGCATTAATGGAGCCTCAGCCACGTGTGAGCTGACTGACTGACTGACTGATTGACTGACTGACTGACTGAAGGTCTGCCTAGTTGTCTTGGCGCTGGGGGTCGCGTCGTGTCATTGTCGTGCCGCGACTCTGCTAGCCGCCGGCTGCTGTTGCACTTTGTCTTGTGGGCGGCGGGGGCGTGTCTCATAAAACGCGTGGAAAATCACATTTTCCAGCTAAAAGCCAAAAGAGCCAAAGCCAAGTGTGCGAAAATTTGATAATCGCGCGCGAGCGCCTTGATTTATGAATTTATGCCATAAACAAGCAGCGGCAGGCAGACAGCCAGCCAGGCAGGCAGGCAAATAAATAATATACCAAATACAATATAAAGCGAGAGAGAGAAAAAACGATTCAATAAAAATCCAAGCGAAAATTGACTAAATACAAAACATGACAGACGGCGTGCGAGTATTAATAATAAAGCGGCCAGCTCACATTTCGCTCTTTGCCAATGATTCTGTGATTGTGACTCTGTGTGTGTGTGTGTGTGTGCTGCCTTTTTTATAAAGTGCAAAAAGCGCTGTACTTTTTTGCACATTCACATTCGATAAAAATCGCATGATCATAAATTTACACTTTGCACAGCCTCCGCGGCAACGCCCACCCCAAAAAAAAAACACCAGAAAAGGGGTGAGTCGCTGGCAGGGGCGTGGCAGCGCCTCCTCAGCCCGACCGCCCCCCACCCGCTGCTCTAGCTGGGCACGCAATAATATGCTCTTGTGAACTGGACGCTGCTGGACGCGTGAACGATTGCTAAATTGTTGGCCCGCTCGAAATATCTTTTTCCCTGCTCTGCTTTTTCTTTTTTTCTTGCGCGTTGCACGTTGCTTGTGGCACAATTGCAATCGCTGCCTTTCGATTTTTATTTCTTTACAAATCGTTGAAATATTTTTCATACCAAGCAGAGGCAAAGAAAACGAAGCCGGGCGCGCGCGTTTTGCTTTTGAACGCCCACAACGCAACGCTGGTGTGAAGTTATTTAATTGCCAGGCGTTTTGGGCGCGACAAAAAACGCGCGACGCACAAAAACCGCTAGCAAAACGCGCTCAAGCATAAACTAACTTATCGAAGCTGATGTGAGTGTGTGCATGAGTGTTTGTGTTAGAGTGCGTGTGTGTGAATGTGTGTGTGGGTGTGTGAGTGTGGTTATGTTTGTATTTGCATAATTAATTCGACTGCACATGATTTGCATATTTCTAATTTAATCGAAATGATTTCACAACAGCAACAAAAACAATAAATTCAAATTGAATATGCAGCAACAACTGCAATGCATAGCCATGGTGCTACCCCTACCCACCCTATGTTGTGTGTGCATGTCGCTGTAACATTATAAATAAATCAAAATACAATTTCTCAGAAATTGCGATGCCCTATCAAAATCTTGAGTGCGAGTGCGCGCTAGCACCCAAAACCCGAAGCAAGCCCTATGCCCTGTGCCCGCTCTCAACATGAGCGCAATTTCCACCCAAAGCATGTCGTAGGCAAATCTGGCCAAAAAGGGGGCGGGCCAAGGCAAGTGTATGTGGCAAGTCGTTGGCATACGGAGGCGGAAAAGTTGTTGTTCAGGTTGTTCCTGTTGGATGTTGTCGTTATTGGTCAGGCAGCAGAGGCAACACTGTAGTTGAGCTGCCACAGGCAACAGCCACAGCCACGGCCAGGGCCAGGCAGGCACTCACATGTTGCACACACACACACACACACACACTCACACGACTTGTCCTCTGCATGCCGTGCAATTATTTTGAACTTAAATTCGTATTTTGTGCGAATCTGGCGAATGCATCTTGTGTCTCTTCGTTTGCCTTGTGTGCCTGGGCAACATTTCATATGCAAACCTAGATGCCAATATCCAACAGGAACAACAGCAGCAGCAAGCACAGCCAAAACAACAACAACAACAATGTCAGCATGCAACTTTAACTAGCGCTAAATTGTCAGCAATTGTCGTTTAGCTCTCGCAGCTTGAAATCTTTAGCAACATATTGCACGCGGCAACATGTGACTGCAATAAGGCTTAAATACACTGCGCGAAAAGATTGTGGTTGAAAATGAAATTTATGTGGAATGATGATTTTGTTGCTGACATATAGACAAAATGTAACGCAGTCGTGGGTGGTATAGCTTCTACACTGTGAGAAAATGTTGAAATAAACTTATTTAATGATTTAAGTGTGAGTTATTGGTCGAACATGAAAATAGATACAAAAACTATAATAATAAATAATAAAAGTAAATAAATAATAATAAATAAATAAAAGGAAGCTATAGCAATTTATTTGTATAAAATAGTATATATATTTTTATCTACTTTTTTCTATAAATATATAAAAAAATAAAATAACAAATATTAAAAAAATTTGATATATAAAAAAAATTTCTATCAATTTACAAATATGTTTTTTATAAATTTTATTTTTGTTTAAATGTTAAAAACTGTTAAATGCAAGAAAGCTAAGCAATAATTAAAACAGCATAAGCAAATTATTTTAGTGTGATTTTCTTTTTTGTTCTCTTCCATTTACATATTTTAATAATATTATATTATTAATAAATATATTTACATTCATATTTAATTTGTTTCTATATAAATTTATGCATATCCATATTTATTCCCAACATTTTCTTTCAAATTGTTTCAATTCACTTTACGTTTTATTTTATTTCTTAAAATAAAAAATTAAATTATTTATTTTACAGCTTTACCTTGAGTTAGCCAATTGAATAGTGTTAGAGTTTTCTCTGCGTGTACGTAGTCTCACGTTTAATCACTAGAGCTCTGTTAAGTGGGAGAAATGGGTAGAAAAAAAGGAAGGAAAAAATAATAAAACCAATGCAAATCATGCGCCGAATTCATACTTCAGAGTCCTCCTCGTTGAGGCGCCTGGTCCGGGTGCCATCGGCCACGGCAGGTTGCCTGCCCATGAACCAAAGGTGCATGCGCCGCAGGCAGCCCTCCTCGTCCAGTATGCGGTAGAGCTGCATCAGCAGTATGATGAACACTGCCAGAAGCGTGAGGAAGGCCAGGATGTCACGTGTCGTCCAATATGGATGGATGCCGGTGGTGCCAGCGCGGGTTTGGACCAGTGCAGCATCTGAAGCAGCTGGTTCTTTGGTTTCCATGTTGCCGTCCGTTCTGTGCAGGCACCGTATAGGCAGGTGGACGCCACGATCGCTCAAGTAGATCATTATGCGGCGCATTAGCACAAAGCTAAGCTCCGTATCGCAGATGCTCAGCTCCTGCAGATGCGGATGCTGGCGATGGAAGAGCTCGTAATCGAACTCCTGTAGCCGATTGCCCTCCATATGCAGACGCTGTAGGCGTGGCAGCGCTGCAAAGCTCTCTGCAGTCACTGTCAGCAGATGGTTGAAGGAGATGTCCAGCTGGAGCAAGTGCGTCGGCCACAGCGCCGCATCGGGCGGCAGGCGCCGCAGCTGATTGTGCGCCAGATTCAGCTGCGAGAGACTGGGCAACAGTAGAGCACTCGAGTTGCTGCCACTGGAGAGTGCTTCGATATTGTTTTTGGCCAGATCCAAATGTTGCAAGTTCCACATGCCCTGCAGCAGCGTCGACGTCGCATTGCTGCTCAGCTGATTGGCGTGGAGATCCAGCTCGATGACGGCGCTCTTATCGCCAATGCTGAGCTGCGTCAGCGCATTGTTGCCTGCCAGCAGATTGATAACGCCGTCGTCTATGATTAAGCGCTGCACGCCGCTACCCTCCAGCCGCAGCGTCTGAGCGCCCAGCAAATGCAGCTCCGACAGCTCATGCAGCTCACAGTCGCTCAGATCGAGCAGGCGCAGTCTGGAGAGCGTCGCCAGCGAATTGGGCTCAAACTCGGCCAGCGAATTGCCCTTGAGCAGCAGCGTTTGCAGCTTGCTATTCTTCTCGAAAGTTTTTGCATCCATATGGCTAATCTCATTGTCGCTCAGATCGAGATGAATTAGATTTGCAAGTGCAGTAAAGGCGCCAGCCATCAGCTCGGTAATGCCGTTGCCCTGCAGACCGAGCAGCTGCAGCTGCGTTAGCCCCTCGAACGCCAGCGAGGGCACGATCTGTATGATGTTGTGGTCCAGCTGCAGCACCTGTAGCTGCTGCAGCGACGCGAACTGCTGTCCCGTCAATCGTGAGATCTTGTTGCGTTGCAGCATCAGTTGCCGCAGCTGAGGCAGCACCTCGAAGTGCTCTTTGCTCACATGGTAAGTGCTGCAGTTGAGCACTTGGAGGCTGTGCAGATTGGGCGTCAGGCGAAACAGCTCCAGGGGCAGCGTTCTCATCTGCCAGTTGCCCAGCAGCAGCGTCTGCAGCTGCACAGCTTGACCCTTCGAGTAACGCAGCGGCTGGCGATAGTCGCTCTGCAAGCCCCACAGGCTGCAGAAGCTCTCCGGGCAGCTAGCGCTCAAGTTGAGGCTTTTGTTGTCATCGTAGATGGGCGCTGCTAGCAGGCACTGTATTCCCAGCAGCAGCAGACACAACCAATGCATCACTTTATACTATATAGATCTATAATTCCGCTTAATGCTGTGTGCTCTACAACCGACGCTCGAAAACGCGCTCAGTGCACTAAAGTCACGATCGACTTGGACGACGGCGTCGGCGGCTGCTGCGGGCTTATCGCTCAAATGGACAAGGCAATGGGGGTGGCAGTGGGGATGGTTGGCCAGTGTACGGCGAGGGAGGTGTGCGGGCTGCTGATTTAATATTTACTCTATATTTATATATATAACATACATTTATATATATAGTAATGCAGATAAGCTGGACAGCAAGCGTGTGTAATATTATTTCCCCTCTGGGAGGCTCTTCGAACACACAAAGCACTCGCCAGCAACATTGTTGAGCTTAACATTTTCATGTGTCTTTGATGCTTAACAGAAATATACTCAAGTTCAGTTGGAGAAATGTAGAGTTAGAGCTTAATAAAACAGCTAAAAGCTTTCTTCCGCTCAGCATTCCTTGTTCTACATAGAGATATATGAGACACAATAAAACACATTTTCACCTGTTGTCGCAGAAACATAACAGTAAATATATATATACATGTATATATAATATATATACGAAAGCTTTATAGTAGAGTAGAGAGCAAGAAATTTAAGTATTTGTTTCAAAATAAATAAAACAAAAATAAATTCATAACACATATCTATATACAGACATATATATACATATATAAATTATATTACTATATTTATAAAAAAAATGTATATATATTTATATAGGGGCATATATTGACTTGGCATACATAAAAAAATAAATAATTATATTTAATCAACACAAATTTTAACTAGAAAAAGATCTTATAATTAGTTTTTTCTACAAAAAATAATTTATTTTTATTTTTTTTTATTTTCAGTTTATAAAACATTTTTTGTAGTGTACTCAATATGTGTCTAACCAAAATAAAATAGCTTTTAGTAAAAAAATAAAAAAATTGTGGCATATTTTTTATTTTATGTAAATTAATTTTCACTTAAGTCTTTGAAGTCTATATGCCATTTCTTACAGTATATCTAAGCAATATAAATTTAGTATTTAGTATTATATGATATTATTTTATGTAGTACATTTTCACTTAGGTATATCAAGTAGGTATACTATTACTTACAGTGTAGCCTAAATTTGTCTAAGTTATCTAAATGTAGCTGTTAATAAAAGATTCAAAGATTCATAAAATAAATATTTAAATATTTAATTTTATTTTATGTAGTACATTTTCACTTAAGTATATCAAGTTGGTATGCCATTTCTTGCAGTGTAGCGGCAATGTGTCTAAATAACATAAACAACATAAATTTGTTGTTAGTCCAAAGCCGTCGTCCGCATGTTGACAGCATTTACTTAAGGAAGAAAACACAAATCTGCGTAGCTAACATATCGTCAATAGATCATCAAGATTGTATCTAACGATATGATCGAGCTGCCCATATGCCCACATACATGTGTGCGTGTGTGTGTGTGTGTGCGTATGTCTGGAGCGGCGCAAGTTAGAAGCCATCATAATTTCAACATGAGTGTTGGCTGCCACTGCGCACGGCTAACAATGATGAGGCTCACACTGTGGCTCACACTGAGGCTTCACTGTGGCTGCTGAGGTACAAATGTGTTCGACGCTGGGCAGCAAGCTCGCTAGGGTCGCCTGTGTGCGCGTTATCAGCAACAGCGATGCAGATTAATCGCCGCTGATAAGCCCCGTTTGCTCCGTCGAGTGTCTGTCTGTCCTGCTCCGTCCCTCTGTCTGTCTGTCTGTCCGTTTGCCTGGACTGGGTTGGATCGCTGACGAGCAGCGCTTATGACAAGCCACAATGACGAGGATGATGATCGACGGTAGCGTTGCGTTGACGTTGACTGCGTGCGGGTTTCGGGTACTTCAAGCACATGCACACACTCATGTGTGTGTGTGTGTGTGTGTGCACACTCACATACTCTATGCTTTTGTTTGCGCTGCTTGTGTTTATTCCATTTTTTGTTTTCTTCGTGCGTTGCTCTTGTGAAAAGGTGTGCCTGGGCTATGCGAAATATGCGTGGCTTTTGTCGAATGTCGATCGCTCTGACCGATCTGCTGGCTCTTCTGCTGCTGCTGCTGCTGCTGCTGCGTGTACCCTTTCGTTGCCCAAAGTGGTTTAGATTAAGGGCTTTAGTTTAGTATTTTGGCAACAAATGGGGCGTTATTTGCTCAGCGAAACGTGCGACTGGTTTGGCTTTGGCTCTGGCTTTCGATCGATCGATCTGGACAACGGTCGCTGCACCCCATTGACCTCTTGCAGCTCGTCCAGCTCTGGCTGCCCGAAGACGTAGCCCTCGTGTTGTCGTCTTCATTGTTGTTGCTCTGCCTTGCTTTTGTTGAACATCTGTCGATCTTGTTTGGCGATAATTTGAATTGAGTTTTCTCTGCTCTTCTGATCCACACCCGCTGCCTGCCTCCTCCTTCGCCTGGCTTGTCACGTGTGTGTTAATCATAGAGCTTGATAAGTTCTCTCTGCCAGCTGCCCACATAATTATGCCATATTCTATGTCAGCATAACTCTAATGGCAGCTAATCAAAGTTCAGCGCTTTCTCAGCAAACAAAACGTGTCAACCGCTCTCAGGTGCAGCAAAGCAAAAACGACAAAAAAAATGCAATGGCTTTAAGTCGAAGCATGGAGCCATTCGCATTTTGGAGCCACGCTGCACGTTCAACTCGTTTTCTCGCAATTAACGCGAAATTCTACGAATTGTTTAATTAGAACTCCAGCTACAGCTACAGCTACAGCTCCAGCTAAAGAACTCAGCTACAGCGTCTGCAGCACGTTTAGAGCTGGGCGCTGCATAATCTTTTTTGTAAACATGAAACTCGCGCCATTATATCTGACTGCAGCAGGGTTCGCGGAGAGAGGGATTGAGACAAGGGGGCTACGAGAAGGGGGGCAGCTGCACATCTCTGTGGGTTTTGGTTTTGTCTACATGTTTTGCTGCGCTCTGTGGCTACGTTTTAAATTTAAAATCTGTGAATTTGAAGCAGTTAATCGAGCCACGTTGTCTGCAGTTGGCTGCAGCTACAGCTACAGCTACAGCTTCTGCTTAGGTGTTGTCTCCTCCGCTTGTTGTTGTTGCTGTCTGTCTGTCTCTCTGTTTGCAGTTGTTGCTGTGCCTGATTTCGTTGACCGATTAAATCATTAAATATTCCGATTGTGTAGCGTTATAATGAAATGTTTTTAACGCTTGTCTGATTTGAAATTATGCAGAGAATTAAAGGATCTCGCGTATTTGCTCAAATTGAAAAGAAATACAGTCGAGCGCGAGCTTGATTTTGTTACGTGGAAAAGAGCAAGACTAAGAAAAAAATAATTAAATAAAAAATTGTCAAAGATAAAGTGATTTTTTTTATATTTTGATATAAAAAAACTAAGGTACTAAAACTTAATGATATAGTAATTCATTGAGTAACTAATTTTATTTAAGCCAACTACTTCAGCGTTCGACAGCCTGAGAGAAGTTTGAGTTACTAAGCAACATTTCATATAGAAATTAATCAACTTCATAGCAGGTGCATCAATTGATGCTAAGATGCAAGCTGTTTAGATCTAACTGTGCTTATTTTTATTATTATACTTATACTTATTCTTATACCTAGTCATCTGCTGCTGTTGTTCAAATACAAAAGCATTATGACTGAGCACAGAAGGAAATGAATATTATATTATATTTGTGTGTTTATGTATTTTTCATATTTTTTGTAGATAACTCAGAGACAAGTCTGTCATAAACAGAACTAAAATGTTTATAAATAATTCTTTTTTTTTGACAAAATTAATTTTGCATAAAGCCATAAGCAAAATAGCATGAATGTGGTACATAAAAACTTATAGACATATAGAGTTCTTGCTATACAATTCTTAATGAATTTAAAATCTTTATGAATTTAAAATATAGTGACCATAAAATGCTAAAAAATTTCTTTGAATTAAAATCTGTATAGTTCAAAAAAATTTTAGACAGTTAGGGTATGATTGAAGCAAAACTAAAAAGCCAAAAATATTTTTTAAGAGAGAATTTTTTGTTGATAACACTAAGAAATTATACAATATATGTAATATATATATGCATATATTTATAATAAATTTAAATAAATTATATGTAGATTAATTGTTTAACTAAATATATTATTTAGAGAATAGAATATATCTCTTATTCGGACTCGAATCACAGAACAGATAAGGAAAGAGTCTTTTTAGTTTTCAGTTGCAGTAATTCGTTTCTAAATAAATTATTTTTAAATAACAACTAAATAATATATTCATGTCTTTAACTATAACCTTTTTATTTATATGTTTAATAATATAAACTCAAAAGAAATAAGAAATAGGTCTTAAGTATTTAAGTCTATCAAATGTAATTGAAATCACAAATGAAACAAAGTTTTTAATAAACTTTTTACACAAATTATCGCATCTTTCAGTGCAGCGAAAATCTTTTTATATTAAGAAAACTTGTCGAAAAAATATTTGTGACCAAAAATGGAAATTCCCATAAACTATTCGCTCAATTCATGAAAGCGAACCAATTCCATATATAACAATAGACAGGCAACATTGCGTATGCTTAATATGCAACAGCCACAGCTACTGCGACTGCAACTAACAAGACAACAAACGAACAAACAAAAAGTAGCTCAAAACAAATATGTGAAAATCTGTGACAAATAGATTTGACTGATATGAATTTTATTTAAACGCAATCGCTGATGCATAATTAATTAAGAGTTTTTTTTTTTTTGATTTTTGCTTTCTGATTGTTATATTTTTGTTTTGTTTACTGAGCGATTGTTGTTGTTGTTGTTGTTGCCGCTCGCCTGGCTGTGGTTGGTTGTTTGGTGTGTGCTCCTTATCTTGTAAATTGAATTATGAAATCGTCAACCTGAAACTGAACTGAATAGCAGCCTGGCTGCTGCTGCTGCTGCTGCTCCTTTAAGTCCATCGACTGGAAAATCAGTTAAGAGAGCATGACGACGCAGCAACAACAACGACAACGAGAGCAACAGCAGCAGCAGCTGCTGCCCGCGCGTTACGC